TTAACATGTTGTATTTTAGTTTTAATGTGAAAACTGTCACTGTTCATTTTATTTTGTACATGGAATATTTTATTCTCAACATAGAATTTATTTGTGAAGAACAAAGTGGCAATTGCTTTTCTTTGTACCATAATGTGTTTACTAACTGGCATCAGTTACTTCTTATAGTGTTTTCTGGCACATCAGTTTTGATGAGTTTTGAAGGTGTATGGTTATATGACAGAAAGAAATGGGAGTAAAGTTATTTGTTTATATTTGATCAAAATAGATCAATACTTATGACACACTCTGTACTAAGGGAACAGGGTGAGATGTAACATTAAAAATACCTATATACCTTCATATACCTGGATTTACCTGTAATGAAGACACCTATGCATACAGGTGTGAATTAACATAGGTTGTCATTCCTTTCTGCTCACATTAGTGGATCACACAACATGTTCCATTCTTAAACTTTTTTAACATTATATATAAAACGTTGATATCTCAATTGAACCTGTCTCAGAATCAATGTATTTTTAATTTTTATGAGATACTGAAGCATATCAAAGAGTAAAAGACACAATAATGAGGAAATAAAGAATATATGGAGTAAATGAAGCTGTAAAAATCCATCCAAATCCAAATAAAAAAATAAAATGTCTAAAATATACTGTAAAGAATATCATTGGTGGATATTCCTCATTATAAAATCTGTGTTAGTTTTGATGAGTTTACATTTTAACTGTATATATTTCATACAGGGAATTGTCAAGGGTCATTAAGTACATTTAGGGCATGGATATGTCTTTGACCCTTACTGTCCCTTTTATACAATGCCTTACCCTGTTAGTGTTCTCTACAGGAGGGTACATATAAGTGTCAGTTACTCCCTGTCAGAAATCTTATAAGCATTTGTAAAATTTCACTGACACAAATTCCAAGGTAAAGTTTATTTTTATTATCTAATTTGAAAACACAACAGGATTTGCCAAGGGGAGGTTCACTTTTTAAAAAATTCCAAGAGGGTTCACTTTTGACAACTATGACCCAAAGATGGCCAATATCACTCCAAAAGTGCTCAGAATGGTGAAAGCTGCATAATTTGAAAGAATTCCCTGGCTATGGGCCTGACCTATGGTTTTCCAAAGATTCAAACTCAAAAGGATGTAAATCTGGTATTATCCATGGGATGTCCCATGGAGTCCTGTCCACAACCAAAGACAGAGCTGACATTTTATTAGCAGTGTTTACAAATATTATCTCCTTTAATAGCCCATAAGAAAGTCCTGGTCAATTATGAAGGTGATGATTTAAATGATGGCAACTGTTTCTAAGGGATTGACTTTCAAATGATCTATGTGATATTGGATGAATTAAGACCATGTTTCCTCTGACATGTGGATTGTGTTACACCCTGTATTACATTACTTACATTACATTACATTACATTACATTACATTTACTAGTGATAATCATTATACAGGGTGTTCCAAGTATGATTTTAGTCACATCCTGCACCGAAGTATTAAATGGTCTTTACATCCTATTTTGGTACTCATGCTTTTAATATATTTATTCTTCAAGTACATTCACACCCCTTGGGGTCAAGTACATGTACAAACAAAAAATTATAACAATAATAAAGGAATATGTTTTTAATATTTCAATAGCTAGTTATGTATGATATCTATACATGCATCTGTAGAATATAAAATCGTCCAGAAAAAAACTTTGACATTTCTTCTAATGACTTAATTATTATCATAGTGATGATGAAGCCAATAATGTAGAATTTTAACACATACATTGGAAGAAATCAAAATTACTTGATCATATGTATCTAAATATTAAATCACAGTATGGTACTAAAACGAAATCCAGGGAGAAACAGTTAGAATCGCATGCTAACATCTCAGTCCCCTACCTTGAAAATAACAAAGAGTTATACTACCAATTATGCCTTTAAGACGCAGTTAATATGATCAAATATTTTATTGTAACAATCTCAATTGGCATGCAATTGCATGTTTCATATCTTTGTTAATGGAGGATATGTGAATGAGAATTGTTATAGTAGGACCTTTAATAATAAATGTTCATTGATTGAAGACTCTAATTTCCTAAGTACTGTTCTTTCAAAGTAAAAAAAAACAGTCAGAAATAAATCAAGGTTAAGAAAATCAAAATGTTTTTTTTACAAATTATGAAAAAAACTGGATGTAATGTGTGTCAAAACACAGGGTGGGATAGAAATGCATACAGGGTGATTCAATGCTATTTGAATGTTTATGAAACTCATATGAAGAAAAGTCCTGATCTCCTGTCCCCTACCCCTTACTTTCTATTTGACTTTTCGTCTGTCAGAATAATAGGTGCAAATGATAGACTGGTTATACTGAATTGATTGCATTATTAACTTACAAATAATAATTTATATTCTGATTTATTTCTTGCTTACTTTATTTTGATATGATTTAAATTTTCACGTAAGCTATTAGGGTCATAAAATTGAGTACTGTATAATAACCGGTAAACCCCCATCCTTGGTCCAAGGGTAATTCAATTTATTCTATGAACTGGGACAGTGAATGGCCGATCTTGAAAGATGGACTACCCCTCTACAATATTTTCTGAACAAAAGCTGGGGTAGCTGTCAGATTAAAGAGCCTATTCACACAAATGAAGTTGCCATATAGACCATTCTACAACTGACTTGGGTTTAGTAATTTTGGATATAAAAGCCATTTACAAATCTGTGTATTCTTATATTTGATTGTATGTACTCGTAATTAAAAAGGATATACAAGTATCTATTACATAGCATCATGGTAATTAGTTGTAAGAATATTGTTTTGGTAACAGAAGTTGTAGAAAATAAGCTTTCTTACAAAAACAACAACAATTATGCTATTTGTCTTCAGTGTTTGTAATAGATATGATATCCCACTTTTTACATTTAATAGTATTGTTTATCCATTAAGGTGCATTGAATCAATAATAAATGTAAAATAAAAACAAAAACATAACATTAACATTTAGCCTTGTAGATATACTAGCATCAAGGTTACAATTTTATTCTTCATTTCATTGATGAAGAATTTCTTTAAAAGTTCTGATAAAATAAAAGATTAGTTATTTTCCCCAATAATAATCATGGTTTCCATGGAAACTATAGATTGTCATAAATGATGGATACAGTTGTTTTTCTGGATGCACAGTTGATTTTCCAGATATATCACTTTCCCCAAGATGACCACTTCAGATCAATAATTGGTCATAGATGGGACCCCAATGAGGCATTATTAATACATCTGAAGATAACCCTAGGTTACCCCCAGTGTGAGGGAGATGGGGCCAAGGAAACAGAAGCTGGCATCAAATGCATGCACCAACAGAGTAAATCACTTATGTATACCCACATCCCAGTCATGTCTCCTTGTATCTCCATAGAAACCAGATGTAAAATTTGAATCTCTATGGTTACCATGACAAGTAAATTTTATAGTTATGTAATTACATATACTGGTACACTCCCCTCCATAAATTTGGAAATCAGAAGTCTCCTTTTGGATAACTTATCAGAGCATGTCTATGTTGAGCGATTAATAAAAATCACCAAATTTATCTGAAAAACTTTTGTCATTCAGGGACAAAATTATAAGTCAAACATTGAGTGTTATCCAATGAAAACTTCAATATTCCAAACTTATGTGGTGGGGGAGTGTATGTCATCATATCCTCCAGAGTCACAACTTATGCGGGGGGGGGGGAGTGTATGTCATCATATCCTCCAGAGTCACAGCTAACAATTCTGTATGCTGATATTGTACACCAAGAATTTAATTAATTTAGCTTGACACTTCTGTCTGGTCCAAACACAGAATTATAGCAGGCATAGATAACTGCACAAATGGAAAGTTATTCTGGATATGATGTTCATACTGTTGTCATGTGTCTAAGACCCCTACCAGTGACAGACTATGTCAGAACTTATATGCCCCATTTACTCTAAACAGCTTAATTCAATTTTACAACAATTTGAAATTGATTTAGAAATAAAAATCTGCAAAAATAAATGTTTTGTCTTAATTAAAAAAATTAATCAATAATTGTAAAACAATAAGGTATTAATGTTAGCTGATGATGCGTGGAATCTGAACATTGTTGGTCTGCATAAATCCATACCAATTTGAAATCTACTCTATTTGTCATTTTCACTTTTCAGCTATACATGTCATTTCACATTTTACATGCTTTAGTTGAGATATCAAATTTGAATATTTAAATACCATTTTTCAAAATATTGAATTTCATTGAATGGATTAAGCCATATGACATTTTAAACATTTTGCATAATTTTAAACCTAAACAGTGGAGGGAGTGGAGGGGGGGGGTCAATAAACATGATTCAGACAAGAATTTATATATTTAAATATCTTAAGATTAAATCAATGCAAACAATTATGAAATCATATATCTTATGCAGTATATCAACAAGTTTCTTTCATATATAATGTTGATCATCTACTGCACCACATTAACCCAATCAATTGAATCATATATTGTGGCACAGCTCCTTTGTATTAACAATAAATAATTCATACTGTTAGGCTTTTAGCTTTTTAGCTGATAAAAAGAGACAATGACAGTATACTGTCCTAATGGGTGTATAGAAATATAATATAGAATATTGATAAGGTCATGATGAATATGACCATGGTCTAGGCACTTGATATATAATACATATAGATGGAGAATCCCTAGGGCTTTTCCAAGTTACCAATAAAATCCTCACATTGTAAGGCTTGTTTGTTGGATTAAAACATTAATCAAAATGTCTAGTTTATCAAAATCCTATTTATTAATCAAATTGATTGTTACCACAAGTATTTGACACCCGGTTCCCGAGTCAGCTTACTAGTGCACATTGCCAAAATATTGGACCACTCTGTATTATGCATATTCATAAGTCCCAATGCGCATGCGCGGGCAAGTATTTTGATTCAGTAGCGAACATGGCGGTGAACAGGAGAGACCGCATATTTGGAGTACTCCAATTATTAACACTTTTAGCGATATATAGCAGATTTGCACATGCCTCAATCGGTAAGTACTCATCTTTGTATCTCATATTTTCAGATTTATGTGGAAATCGAGTCACATTTCAAGTTTATAGTGTAGAAAACCGATGTTTTTTCAGCGAAATTTTGCTTCATTGAAAGTTTGCACCTGCTCCATTGAAAATCAAAGTGAGCTCAGGTTTTCATATATAATTTCTCCAGTATAGAAATTTGTTCTACATTGTTGTTTGAATGAGATCAGGGGGATGAATAACTTTGTTGTTTACAATATATTTTTTATTTTGATTCTTCTTGATGAATTTATTTTGGCATGTATTAGAAACTGTAGGAAAGTAAATCTTCATCCATTCAAAATCAACTTGACCAGAAATTTTGCAAGTAAATTTCAGATCTTCGATTTTAGTGATTTCAATAGCCAGAGAAGGAACTTTTTGCTATTTTTGTTTTTGAAAACAGCTTTCCGAAATACCTTTTTGAAGTCATTGTTGTTCTTGTCATTCCCCAAGAAATGTGTCATTCTTGGATTTTATTTTAGACCATTTCTAAGTCAATTCAATGTTTTTGTTCATTCAATCTTGTCAAAGTTGACCCAGTATGGTGCTGTACAGATCTGTCTGAAATATATAATTTCAAGTAAAATATATTATTTAGAAAATAGAATTCATATGATGATTGTTACATTGTGCATATAACTTTGCAAAAGTGTAGAGAAAACTGCTACATTGTTTTTTGTAGAAAAATAAAATTCCAAATTAGTGTGATATCAGTAAAAATTACATATTACTGTATGGGAAAATACATGTTTGAATTAACTTTTGGAATTCAGTATTTTACTGGGCTGTTAGATATACTGAATATTTCTGCGATGTCGAAATTCCTTCAGATCAAAGTACTTTGGTGAAAGAGATTTACAGAATATATAATCCAATCATATGCTCAATGCAGAACTCGTACAGCTTTTAAAAGCAGAAAAAAATCGATTAAATCCAATCTGAAGTTAATCCAAATTCTTTAATTTACTTCTATGGAGATTCAGTTAAATATCAAACAAATACGATCTGATACTAATATATATTTGAATTAAACACAACCACAGAAAGTGTATCAAGCAAGCTTTTCAGTCCCTTATAGGAATTTAATTTCAGTTGCTCTGAAAATAATTTTCACGATTGGTTACACTGAAAGGTTAGCAAATACTCCAGTTGTCCAAAATATGAGTGTGTTGAGAAAAGCTTTAATAAATCCTTTGACAATTGCAGAAGTCAAAACTTTAGACGCAAGTGGACCCAGTAATCTACGTTGAGTACTTTTGGAAAGGATTTGATTTCAATGCGTCATATTTACTAAAATACTAGTCCAGACTTCACTTTTAAGTTTACCTTGTTTGGTTTTCCTAATGAACATTGTCAAATACTAATTGTGTAATAGTGACCACTTTAACATGTTTTATGTAATGCTTAGACACATGATTGGCACTTTGTATATTAATTTCTCAAGAAAATAGTCAACATACAATTATTTCAATTTTAGAACTTATATCGTTTTGGTCCAAGTCTATCACGATAACAAAAACATTTGGATAAGATTTTCTAGTACAGTGACCAAGTCACCAATCTACATCTATTTTTTCCCAGGAAAGGTATATTTAGTACGTCTAGATCATGAACTTTAATCGTTCGTAACTGTTATCTTAAAATCCAGGATATGGTAGTGCAAAGTGAAATTGTTTTTTGGAAAGTTCTTGTTTTCATTTCCTATGCTGTCTGGTGCGATACACTTTGCTTCCTACGTGATTCTTGTAGATCGGGTCTTGATTTTTACCAGTGCTTTTTATTTAAAGTGCTTCAACTTCTAAAAACTATTATTAGATCAACAAAAAAGCAAATCGATGATATTTTCTGTCTTATATAGATTAATCAATGCGACTAGAAATTAAATAATTATTACATTTAGACAAATACAATCAAGCGCTGTTAAGAAAATATTCTTGATTGCTGCTCATGTCAAAATCCAGGTGCCATCTTTGTTTTGTATGTTGGAATAATGAAGAAAGAGTAAACAACCTTTTTGAAAAGTTTAATCAGAAAGATCTTATAATTTGGGATTTCACAATTTTCTTTTTAAGCGAACTCGTTAATTTTTGTTTTGTGTCAAATTTAGGGTGTGCAATTTCTCATGTTACTTTGTAGTTTTGTTTTAAGCCTCCAAATATCTAAAATGGTTCATTCATTTTTGAATTATCGCCCAGGGTAGCTTCTGGTTTGGTTAGCCATATTGTCAACAATGGCAAGTATTTAGTCATTCGTAAACAATGGTTCTGTTTGCAACAAATATCCTTGTGCATGATGCAGTATACATTCTCTTGGAAAATAAAGAATCAATGGATTTAAGAAATAATGCTGACACAGAGACAAAATTGTTTCCAGTAATTTTGTTCATAGAAAATCAGACATTTTATATATTCAACTTTTGGTCTGTTAGGAATAACAAAAGAATAATGGGGTTCCTTGGTACTGGCTTTTGACCAACTGGCAAATCATCCGACCGAATCAAACCCAAGTAGTCACAGTTATTTGTGGCTGTTTAAATGTATTTTATATGTATTTTTAACAGTTGGATCATCATTAATCGGGTCATCTCAGTTGTGGTCGGTTACTTACTGTTATTATGATTCTTGCTTAGCTTTAATACAACGATATATGGATAGCATAGCTTTTTACTTGTATCTAATATTCAAGTATTTTTACTAGCTAGGACTATACACGTATACTATGGTATGTTTGAATTATGAGTTGATATCATTTATGTTATATAGCCTTACCACATCAAAATAGGCAGAATGAAAACAAAAGCCTTGTTATTGATGAATATATATGATCAATTCTGGTCACCTCAATCTATAGATCTGCTATATAAATATTAGATATTATAAACCTTTATTAACCTAACTTAGATGATACGTGAATGTTGCTATATGTGTGTATGTATATGAAAGCAATTCAGATAAATACTCTTGTGAGAAAGTCATATTTCATTCAGAATGATAACACATTAGAATGCAGTTCTGTGGGAAGAATTTATGATTATCTAATTTACGTTAGACATTGTATTGGTTTGTTTAAATGGAGATTTTTATAGGAGGGGTCATAAGATTGAAGTATCCATAGTAGCCATAAATATGAAGAACACTTGTCCCATTTTAAAATTCTGAGAGGTGTCTATGGATCAGTTTCATATATTTCTCACTCGTAGCCTGGTATGTATTATAATACATTGATTTGGTTAAATGAGAGGCAGGCATTTTAGAGCTATTTATTTTGTGCTACCTTGTTTCATATTGATTGCTAGCCGGAAAGTAGTCGTTCACATAGATTATTATAGAAAATAAGTCTACGCAATATAATTGTTTGGATAAGTGTCTATTATACTAACTTTTTGTCACAACAATTTTATTTTTGTTTTTTTACAATTTTTTCCGGCACCAGTGTCAAAATCACTCAATGCATAATAACATTGGTTGTTAACTCTAATTGACTAATTGTCTGACACCTTCGTTTTTTAATCCCTTAAAATACAAGTTTGTTATTTCTTTGGTAAAAGTTTGTTTGTGTACTGAATTTTAATCTAATAATTAGAAGTAAACATTGCCATGGATATTAACTATAATCACATTAAGGGCTTGTGATCTTACAAAGTAGCTGGGGACAGAGTGAGGTAACAAACTGCACCTAATGAACATGTCTTAATCCATACCGCAGGGGGCTGCCAGAATTTAATGGAAAATAATTATGTTTGAATACAGGTTTTTGCGCCTCTTTGGGTAACTTGGATTTAGCTTATAGATAAGCTGTTATAATCTACCTAAACAAAATGCTGAAAAATAACAAGACATTTAGTCTTTGTAATATACCTTTATGATCATGTATGGCTTGATAAACTGATATCTTGCATTGTTGGGTAGAATCCAAGATGATTTTCTGTGATATTCAAAGACTGGTCTAATTTTCCTTTCTAAGCTGCTGTTTGTAATCTTAAACCTGAATTACTAGACAATAAAATCTGAGAAAATAGCTCTAAATGAGAACTTCAGTGACCTATCAATGGTTGTCACATGGTCAATGGTGTATTGTTTTTCTGCCGAGTTTCCTGATTAATTTGATTAAAGTATCATTTTCAGCAATTTATATCCAACTCTGGGTGTTAATAATCATTCATGGATTTTTATGACCTATATTCCATATTTTATGATGATACAATAATTGAAATGCCTAGTTTATGTCTGATAATAATGTCCCTTGGGTAACTTTCGAAATGAACTAAAATTATTTAACTTCAGTTTTAGATACACATTTTGATGAACGTGTTAATATCAGATCTTTTTTCATGATGGAAGTTGTGAGTTTTGGTTATTGAATTAGAACCAGAGAAAGTGAAATAAAATGATAAAATAATATATTCCTTTGTTAGTTGTGTCAATATTTGTGGAATTTGATACAAGATCACAGTGTGAATTTGACTCTTATTTCAATGTCCTCTTCGTTCCATATACACAAATAAACACCCTTCTTTTTCACAACTGCATATTCTAAACACCTCTCATAATACATGTTTACTCAAAAATAATTTTCCCACAATTTTCCAAAGTATTTTAACCAGGACTCATATAAACCAAAACAGTTGCGGTCAGGTTAGACTATAAAGGGCTACATATACACTGATAAAAATGTTGTTGAAAATAGGAGACATTCGTGCAACTTGCCCCAGGTTTAAAAAACCCAGTGACATGCAACCATTTAATATTATAGATTGGTGAGTGCATACTATGCTTCCATTTGTGTTCATACATCACCCTTGACATACCTTAACCTCCAGGTCCTAAAACAACCCACAGAGCAATACCTTCATCTATAACTTCCAACTGAGTTTACGGATTCCTGTTCTTTCATACCCCGTAAAACAGATGGTGTATGTATGATATACTAGGCCTCGGCCATTGCTGATAGAATTGCCATTTAGAGGATGACT